TCAGATTTGATCCCCAGCTTTCCTTTCTACCCCACATCCATTCCATGACCAAGAACGCTTTTTACCACCTCTGTCATATTGTCCGCCTCCGTCCATACCTCACAACAAATGCATCCGAAACCCTCATCCACACCTTTAAGAACATAAGAACATAAGAATTAGGAGCAAGAGTTGGCCATTCGGCCCTTCGTGCCTGCTCCGCCATTCAATAAGATCATGGCTGATCTTCTCACCTAACTCTGATTACCTGCCCTATCCCCATATCCCCTAATCCCTCTATTTTTCAAGGATCTATCACTCTCAGTCATGAAAATGTTCAAGGACTGAGCATCTACAGCCTTCTGGGGTAGTGAATTCCATAAGTTCACTACCCTCTGAGTGAAGAAATGTTTCCTCAACTCTGTTCTAAGAGGCTGACCCTTAATTTTAAGACTGTGACCCCTGGTTATAGATTCTCCTACCAGGGGAAACAGTCCCTCTGTGTCTACTTTATCAGCCCTTTAAGAATCTTATAAGTTTCAATAAGATCCCCCTAATTCTTCTGTACTCTAGAGAATACAGCCCTAGTTTATTCAGCCTATCCTCATAGGTCAGTCCCCTCATCCCAGGAACTAACCGAGTGAATCTACGCTGCACCCCCTCTAGGGCAAGTATGTCCTTTTTTAAATAAGGAGACCAAAACTGCACACAATACTCTAGGTGCGGTCTCACCAAAGCCCTATACAGTTGCAGCAAGACTTCCCTACTCTTATATTCTAAACCTTTTGAAATGAACGCTAACATGCCGTTCGCCTTCTTAGTTGCTTGCTGCACCTGCAAACTAACTTTTTGGGACTGGTGTACAAGGACACCCAAATCCCTTTGAATACTAACACTATCTAACTTCTCCCCTTCCAGAAAATAATCTGTTCTTTTATTCTTGCTACCAAGGTGAATAATTTCACACTTGCTAACATTGAATTCCATCTGCCACCTACTTGCCCACTCCCCAGGCCTATCTATATCTTGTTGCAATCTTTTTGCATCATCCTGAGAGCTCACTCTGTACCTAGTTTAGCATCATCCGCGAATTTAGACACATTACATTCAATGTCCTCGTCCAGATCATTGATGTAAATGGTAAATAGCTGAGGCCCAAGCACTGATCCTTGTGGCACTCCACTAGTTACATCCTGCCAATTCGAGAATGATCCGTTTATCACTACTCTCTGCTTTCTACCCGATAGCCACTCTTCTATCCATGTTAATATTTTCCCATTAATCCCGTGGGCCTTGATCTTGAGTAACAGCCTTTTGTGTGGCACCTTGTCAAATGCCTTCCTAAAATCCAAATATACCACATCTACTGGTTCCCCCTTATCCAACCTGCTGGATACATCCTCAAAAAATTCTAAAAGGTTAGTCAAGCATGACTTCCCTTTTGTAAAGCCATGTTGACTCTGCCTAATCTTTTTATGGTCTTCCAGGTATCCCATAACTACGTCTTTTATTAAGGACTCAAGAATTTTCCCTACAACTGACGTCAAACTAACTGGTCTATAGTTTTCCCTATTTTCTCTCCCACCCTTCTTAAATAGTGGAGTTACGTTTGCAATCTTCCAATCAATGGGAACTTTTCCAGTATCCACAGACTTTTGGAAGATTATAGACATGCCATCCACTATCTCAGTAGCCACCTCCTTTAAAACTCTCGGATGCAGGCCATCCGGTCCAGGGGATTTATCGGTTTTAAGACCCGACAATTTACCTAGAACCATCTCTTTACTAATGTTAATCTCCCTAAGTTGCTCGCTAACATTGTCTTCTTGGTCCTCTATTTTTGGTATGTTTCCAGTGTCTTCTACGGTGAAGACTGTAGAAAAATACTTGTTTAATGACTCTGCCATGTCTTTGTCCCCTATTATAATTCCTCCGGTCTCTGCCTGTAATGGACCCACATTCACCCTCGCTAGCCTTTTCCTCTTTATATATTTGTAAAAACTCTTGGAGTCTGTTTTTATGTTCTTTGCTAGTTTGCCCTCGTAATCTATTTTCTCCCTCTTGATCAATTTTTTGGTCCTCCTCTGTTGTTCCCTAAAGTTCTCCCAATCCTCGGGTTTACTACTCATCTTCGCTGTTTTATAGGCTTTTTCTTTTGATTTGATACTTTCCCTAACTGCTCTAGTTAGCCATGGCTGCACCACCTTTCCCATGGCATTCTTATTCCTCAAAGGAATATGTGCTCGTTGGGAATTTTGCACTATCTCCTTGAATGTCTGCCATTGCTGGTCTACTGTAAAATCTTTAAGTTTAGTCTCCCAGTTTATTCTGGCTAAATCCTGTCTCATACCAGCAAAGTTGGCTCGATTTAAATTGAAGACTTTTGCTTCAGACTTAACTTCCCAGCTTGTCACTTCCCGGCTGGACTTTTCCAATGCCCTCCTTGCTGGTCCCCAAGTTCCACCATACACAAAATTCAACTAATTCAGAACTCTGTTGCCCGGATTCTCACCCGCACAAAACTCCATACCCCCATCACACCAGTCCTTGTCAGGCTCCACTGGATCCCAATTACCAACCAGATCAATTTCAAAATCCTTTCAATCATTTTAAAATCCCTTCATGCGTTCGCACCTTCAACTTGTTGTTGTTGTAGACTCCTATTTAACCCTGCAAGCCAGGGCACTCAAGGATAGGATGCCCGAGCTGGATAGGGAGCAGAAATCTTCCCAGGCAATGTTCTCAATTGTGATTTGAGTTGGTTGTGTGTCAATCTGGCTCAGTTGATGGCACTCTCGCCTGAGTCAGAAGGTGTGGGTTCCAACCCCACATTGGGACTTGAACTCACATAGTCTAAGCTGACACTCCAATGTGGTGCTAGGGGCTTGTTGCATTGTGGGAGGTGCTGTACTTGGAAAAGAAAAAGGAGTTTCTCCCGGTGTCCTGGCCAACAATCAGTGGTGGCTGGTGATCTTTTTGACAGATGAGGCCGTCTGAGTTTGCCTAACCAAGCTACCTTGTTATCATGGCAAAGCGCCCTTCACGCATACTCTCTTGGTCCTGATCTCTCTCCCACGGCATTGCTGTCTTGCTCCCTTAGCTCCCAAATTGGTACTGTCTTGCTCCTTGCTCCCGTGCTCCTGAAGTTCTAAATGAGGCAGTGCCTCACTTGATGAGCTGCCACTGCCAACAATCCAAATAAAATTGGTCATGGTTCACTGGTGGGACATTGTTGTGTGCAATTGAGCTACTACATTCGCCTACAAATACACAGTTACTACCTCAGAGTAAATCCTATGAAGCGCTTTAGTATTATTATTAATAAATCCCAGCACTACCCCCAATGCTTACTCTGAGGTCTCCAAGCCTTCACTCTTGCCAATTTGTGCCTAATATTCTCTGGATTTGTGCCAAATACGCTCAGAGATTCCACCCTGCATGCAAGTGCAAGTTGTTGTTGGAATTAAATAAGTAGGATGAATCCCTCCAAGAGAGAATACACACATTCCATTCCAGAAATGGGGAAATTTCCATGTGTAGGTGGAATACATGGAACTCGTGGTGATGGGTTTTGCATGTGTCAGACACTCAGCTGACCAAAAAAATTACACTCAACCCAATGAGGAACCAACAGTTGAGGAGAAATTCTATTTTTGTGCCACTTTAGAGTTTCCAGAATTTGGCAATTGATTAATTCAGCCTTAACTTCCACTCTTAACTCATCACCCATATGAAGTCCACCAACCTGCTTCCTCAACCAGATCCCCATCCAGCTGCTGGTCACTAAACTCCCCTTTGCTCTGCGCCCTGCTGGCCGACACAGTCAACCAGTTGCTCTCCTATGGTTTTGTTCCCACTGCCCCTCAAATAGCTGTCATTAGTCCCCTCCTTAAAAAAAAACACCCTCGATTCCCGTAATCTAGCAAACTACAGGCCATTTCTAACTTGCCTTTCCTGGCCAAAGTTCTGTACCACATTGTTGCAAAACGACTTTGCTTACGCCTCTCCCTCCACTCCCTACACCAGCCCTCCCAGTCCAGTTTCTGCCCTGTCCACAGCACAGGGACAGGACTCGTCAAAGTCACAATTTTTGTTCTCTCCCTCTGTGACCAGGACTCCCTCTGCCTCATTTCCTCCTGGATCTCTCCACTGCATTCAACACAGTTGATCATACTATCCTCCTCCAACACCTCTCCTCCCTCATCCACGTCACTGGGACCCGCAGAACAAGAGGACACACAGGTGTATGATTGCATGGGGTAATTCGAGAACAGGCACCAGGAATCTTCTTTTTAATACCCGGATCTTGATGGGAGGACTCATTTATTTTTAAAAAAAGCAGCTTGATGTTGAGGTGGGCAGAGGGCAGGATGGGCATTCTGGAGGGATGAGATCCAATGAGCAGAAGGGTCCTCTTTCACCCGAAGGTTATAATAAGAATAAATAATCTTTGCATTTGGCGTAGCGCCTTTCACGTCGTCGAGACATCTCGGAGCGCTTTACAAATATATCGTAAAGTGAATTAACTGTAGGCAAAACGCGGCCACCAATTGCGTATAGCAGTGCCGCTCGAACAGCCCTGGATTGGGTGACCAAATTATTATTCTTTTATTATTTTTTTGAAGGGGTTATTACCTCCGGTAAAAGCAATCGGCTTAAGGGCCAGGTTCCTGCCTCCTGCTCGGCAAACAGAGGAGCGTGGAGTAAGGAAACTTGGCTGAGGATTCGCCCCGGGCCCGGGAACCGAACCGAACCGAACCGAACCCGGGTCCTCTCGCTTGCGAGGCGAGCGTCTTAACCAATACCTTGCGGGGTGCACAGCGAAGTGTAGTGACTGTGTATTGTGCCGGCGAAACGTTCCGGCACTTCAGCGAAGGAGGGGTTAACATTGTGGGCGCAAGTGGAGTTAACACGGGGGGGGGGGAGGGGTGTGTGTGGGGGGAGGGGGAAGGGGGGAGGGGGGGAGGCGTGTGCTATGTGGCTAAGTGGCCGCTTGGGGCGCTCTGGGAGCGGGGTAGGCGGTGGGGAAATTCCAGCTCGGGGACGGCTGGCGGGGCAGCCGCGGAGCAGCAGTGGCAGCAGCGGCGGGCAGGGCAGGGCAGGGCTGGGCAGGGCAGGGCAGCGTCACATGGCAGGAGCCTCCTGAGCAGGCAGTGACAGGGACAGGCACCGCACGGCACCGCACCGCACGGCCCTCACTCTCCTCACAGCCGAGGCTGACCCGCCCGCGGCAGCGCTTCCCCGTCTCTGTGAGTAACTTCAGTGACTGAAGCCGACAACACCCCCTGTACACTCTGTGCTGCTTGTCCTCTCCCCTCTCCCCCTCTCTCCTCTCCCTCCTCTCCCTCCTCTCTCCCTCTCCCTCCTCTCTCCCCCCTCTCTCTTGCCCTCTCCCTCCCTCTCCCTCCCTCTCTCCCTCCTCTCCCTCTCCCCCCTCTCTCTTACCCTCTCCCTCCTCTCTCCCCCCTCTCTCTTGCCCTCTTCCCTCTCTCTCTCTGTGTGTCCCCCTCCACACTCTCCCCCCCCTCTGCCTCCCCCCTCTTTGCCCCTCTCCCTCTCTCTCTCTCCCTCTCCCCCCTCTCTCTTTCCCTCTCCCCCCCTCTCTCTCTGTCCCCCTCCACACTCTTCCCCCCTCTCTACACCCCTCTCTGTGTCCCCCCCCTCTGCCCCCTCTCTCTGCCCCCCCTCCCTCTGCCCCCCCTCCCTCTGCCCCCCCCTCCCTCTGCCCCCCCCACTCTCTGCCCCCCCCCTCTCTGCCCCCCCTCTCTCTGCCCCCCCCCCCACTCTCTGCCCCCCCCTCCCCCTCTCTGCCCCCCCCCCCCTCCCCCACTCTCTGCCCCTCTTCTAACCTCCGTTAAATTGTAATTTTGCTACTAAAAAAAATCCGGTCACAATATTAATGATGGACTTCACTTCCGCATCCCCGAGGCTCAGCGTGAGAGAGAGAGAGTGAGAGAGAGTGAGAGCTGCTCTGCAGCTTCTATAGGCCGCGAGTGGCGTCTGTGCCGAGCAGCCCGGGCTCCTCACCCGATCCCCTGAGTATGTGCCAACAGGGCTACAGATTGCCTGTCCCCGGCTACTCTGCCTATATCAAAGCGCTATATCAAATGCAAGGATTATTACTGCCTCTCTCTGCTCCTGTTTCTCTGCTGTTGGCTGTAGAGTAGCAGCTCTCCCCCCCCGCACACACCCCTCGCTCTCACTGTCACACTCGGGGGGGGGGAGGTTTCCGCTGCTTTTTAACTCTTTTACATTTTATTTATGTGCTTTAATTCATTGCCATCATCTCACCTGGTGCCCAGCAATGTACAGCCCGCGTTTCTGTTGTGTGGCTCTGGATTGTGGAGAAATCTGTGAGTGAGTGAGGAGCTCAGTGTTTAAGGGCATTAGCCTCAGCAAGTCCGAGACCTGGGTTGGATTCCCAGCCAGGGCAAATGTTGGGCAAGTTTCCTTACTCCACATGCCACTGTTGACCTGTAACTGGGAACTCGGTTGTTAGTCGATTAGCAGATTGCTTTCCGGGTGTAATAATCCCTTCAAAAATATCCATGTATTAGTAATAAATTGGTCATTTCAATCCATGACTGTTTGTGGGACGCTGCTGTGCGCAATTGGCTGCCACGCTTCGCCCACAAATATACAGTCAATTCACTTTACTGTATATTCTGTAAATGTACGTCTACTTTGAGACATCTAGAAGATGTAATACGGCACTAAATCAAATGCAAGGATTATTATGAAGGATTATTATAGTGTCACCCACAAAATAATACAATCAGTCCACTTTACAGTATATTCTGTGAAGCGCTTTGAGAATGAGATATCTCAACAAAATTATAAGGCGCTATATCAAATACAAGGATTATTATTATTATAATATGGTGTATATGGGTGGGTACAAGTGGGGGACCAGACCAGGTTGGGAAATGGTCAGTCGCACCGGGATTTCTATCCAATACAAAATTAACTCATGCAGGGAGGAAGTCCCAAGGCGCTGGACAGTCAGGGATTTGGACCCGAGCGGGGGGGGTGGTTGGGATCAGGGAGGGTGGAGGATAGGAGGGTGGCTGAAGGCACGGTCGAAGAGGGGGTTCTTGAGACGTGCCTTGAAGGAGGCAAGGGAAGGAGTGAGGTGAAGGGAATGTGGGATCGAGTTCCAAAGGGTGGGGGAAGAGAGGCTGAAAGCCCAACCTCTGATGGTGTGGCAGGCCAGGGGGCATGGGAGACATGGCAAAGGCCATAGCTTGCTGAGCGGAGGGAGCGGACAGGTTGATATGGGGTTAGTAGATAGAGGTAGGAAGGAGCAAGGCCATTGTTGGTGAGGATGAGGATTTTGAACTCTATCCTCTGTGGAATGGGAAGCCAATGAAGCCTGGTGAGGGTGGTGGTGATAGGGTCACGGAAACTGGTGCCGGAGAGGATACAAGCTGCAGAGTTCTGGATGATCTGCAGCTTGTGGAGGGAAGAGTTGGACCAACAAGCAGGGAGTTGAAGTGAGAGGATTAACGGTGGATGAGGAAAGAGTGGTCAATGGTATTAAAGGCAACAGAGAGGTCAAGGAGGACGAGGAGACAGAGGGAGCCCTGGTCACAGATGGACAGAATGTTATTTGTCACCTTGACCAGGCCTGTTTCTATGCTGTTTCTACAGCAGCTATAAAACTATAAAGCTGTAGCTTGACCATGGTGCTTGCCTTGAAATTGAGGTTTGGCTGTCATGCTGACAGTTGTAGATCCTCTAATGGCTGAGGAAGCCCTCTACAAGCATAACAGCTGATGGCCAAAAGACTTGGCAGCCTTCAGCTATAAACCTGGACATATTGCCACTGAAAGCATCTATGAAAAACATTTATTTTGTTCTTGTTACTTTTGTGGTGAAAGAACAATGTAACAAGGGGGAGGCCTGCAACGTATATTTTATCATCAATGGTTGGATTATCTCCAACAATGTTGAGTAGTTGTGTTTAGATGTGAATAACTTGGAACAGCCCATTTTTATTAGTGGCAGTATTCAAATTAAATCATTACTAGATTTTTTTATTGTAATAACAAATAATCCTGCAATTACTTATGGTTCCTTTACATCAATATTTCGAAGCATTTTTCATGTACATTAACTATGTGCTGATTGTGTGTTCAAGCCCCACATCAGTACATTGAGCTCATTGTCTCGGCTGGCACAGTAACGCAATGATAGAGGATCGCTGCAGGTTATTAATGCTGTCCTTCCAATGAGATGTTTAAATGAGGTCCCACCTGTCTGTTCAGGTAGGTGTTAAAATCCCACCACACTGTTAGAAAAGAGAAGGGAGTTGACCTAACCGACAATCCTCCAGGTAGAATTGGTCATTTACTTCATGGCTGTTTGTGGGGCGTCACTGTGTACAAATTGACTGCCATGTTCACCAACAAATACACCCACAACACTTTACAGTAAAATTATTGTGATGTGCTATGAAATGTTTTGACGACATGAAGAAGCACTTCATTGAATGCAAGAAATATTCTTAGTATAAGTTGTACACTGTGTATTTCTTACTTAAAAGATAGAAAATCGGTGATATTTAACTCCCACGTATTAGTCTACAGCTTTTATATTTGGTACATTTATAAATAACCACCTCATATTGAAACAATGTGTATATATGTGAGAGCCGGTACAATTGTGCAACTGTGTAAAATTTACCTAAAAAGAAGCAGTTTCCTACAGTCAAAGATGAATCATGATTTCTACTGTTTTGCGTAGGTGAAATTTGTTGGGAATGTTAATGGAAGCATGACTCATTTCTTTATTTTTGAATTGAGCCTAATTATTCTTTACAGGTGTCTGGCAACAAATATTTGGATTTATGAGAAGATAAGGCCCATTCAAAGTGGGTCTAGTATAAATGCTGTGAATATTTGTTTGTATAAACCTTTAAAGCTGAATCCCATACCCATTAGAGAAGGAATCCAGCAAGAGTTTTTTTTCATTCTTAAATTTTTACAGTATAAGAAAATTAACTTCCCTTGTTGGAAGGCTGGGGGATATTGCTTCTATTCCACTCACGACCAAACTGTGAAATGGCCTTTGGCCGCCAGCCTCCCTACAGAAGGAAATTTCTCCCGGGGTCCTGGCCAACAATTCCCCAAATAAAATTTGTCATTCACTTGATGGCTTTAAGTGGAACATTACTGTGTACAAATTAGCTGCCCCGTTTACCAACAGTCACTCCACTTTACCGTATATCCTGTGAAGCACTTGAGACATGCTCCTAACATGAAAAGTGCTATACCAAATATAAGGATTTTTATTATTACAGTAAAATGTTCATTACACTTCTGACCTGGGAAACTTATTCCTGATTTTCCTGAGGGGAGGGTGAATGGAACCCACAGGAATTGTTTATTTCCCTTGTGAAATAAAAGGCAATTAAGAATTTAAAGAGAATGCAGGGAACTACAAGAGTAATTGTAGAATTTAACGGAGAGAGTGCTGGAGAAAAAATAACAAGGAATGATTTTCAAGGAACCAGCCTATTGTGCCAGGCATATTGAAAATTATGCAGGATTTAGAAAGTTAAGATGCTAATATGTTTTTCTATCATGTACTAAAGATATTAAGGGGCAATGAAGGTGTTTGCCTTTTGGAGACCCCATGCAAAGGTTAAGTTTTGAGGCCCCCAAAGGCAAACACCAGGAAACTGAATTACTGGATCCACTCGGAGCTCCTGACTGGCTTGGGAAATAGTGAAAGGGTAGGGCATTGGGATTTAAAGGACTGACAAGGTCTAATAAACTGGTAAGACAGTCTTGATGGGCTGAATTGCCTCCTCCTGTTCCTGTTTTTCCATGTTGCGGGATTTCTCAGCATCAAAATCTTGGGAATTAAATAATCGAATAGCTGATGTAACATTTTAATTATTACAATGAATAGTAATTTTAAGGAGCACAGGAGTTGTTTCAATAATCAGTGATACTGCTGTATTAGTATCCTACAAGCGTAAAAATACTAAGTAATTTTAAAAATGAAATGGTTCTTTAGATACAATAGTACAAGTTGTTACAAATGTTTCTAAATGGTGCAAAACTATACAACTTACCTAATGTATAGTATTGTACTATTTAGAAACATTTCTATCTCGTATCTAAATAACCAATTCATTTCCAAAATTGCTTAGTATTTTCATAAACCTGTTGGCATAATTCACATTTTTGTTAAAAACAGTAGTTTTTCTTTATTAATAAAGTAACTTTTTAAAAAAATATCTTTAAACAAGTTTTCTGAAGACCATGTACATGTTACTGTAAAATGCAGTGACCGTGTATTTGTGAGTGAACACTGCACAAAATGCACAACATACCACAACATAGCCATTAAATGGTTGTTTTCTGTATGAAAACTAGTTATTTTTGAGACATCACTTTGTTTAGGAATTTAGGTCCCAATGCCTTATGATTCAGGTGGATGTTAAAGGTTTCCAACCTCTGCCACTATTTCAACCAAACCCGGAGTCTTAATCTTCCCTTGAATTCCACCACTTATTGAAATTTATTTATTGGACATCTCATTTACGTAACAATGTTCACTTGATTTCTAATTAATCTCATTCTATAAATATATATATAACAACAACTTGGATTTATATAGCGCCCTTCACGCCGGACGGCGTCTCAGAGCGCTTCACAGTAATGAATCCCGGGGCCGAGCCATGGGGAGGGGGAAGAGGGTGACCAAAGGCGCAGTCAAAAAGAAAGGTCTTCAGAAGGGACCTGAAAGTAGGAAGAGAGGGAGAGAGGTGAAGGGAATGAGGAAGGAAATATATATAAATAATATATATATATATTCTATAAAGCATTGAGGGTTTTCTTTTATATTATAGTTGTGGGGGCCCATTTATAGATACCATGGACTGATAGATTGTATATCAGAAGTGCAGTACACTCTGGTTTCTAGCAATGACTAGCAGTCCTGATGTCTAGTGGTGTCTCAGAAATAACTGGAAACACTCATAGGATTGATGGTGACAATGGCCTGACACATGGAAGTACTGACCAGAGGCTATTTTTATAACCTTACTCATTTTAATAAAGGGCCTGTTTTTTTTAACGGATACACACCACTGCATTATAACAGGATCTGACTGTAGATAAACCTATGTTTTTATTGTTTGCAAAGTGAAACAGTCACTTCTTGAAACAGTTATTTCAAAACAAAAAATACGCTCACACTGAAAACACGTGAAACTATATTGTTAGGGATTCCCTCTTCATATTCTGTTACATTTATGTCCCAGCTTTTAATTGGGTTTTGCTTTCTAAACGTCCTCTACTTTTTAACCAGTTTTGTTCAAGTTTCATAGGGTAAGTCAGAGACTAACCAGTCACATTCCTCAATAACTTCTTCTTTTTGTTACCCGTTGGATTCATCTGCCGTCACTTGTTTTAAAAACTATCCTATGATAAATATGGTGGGGATTGAGATCATGCCACCGGAGTGCTTGATACTTGAGGAGGAAACAAGGTTGTAACATAAGTTTCAAATGGACAGCTAAAAAACACTAATACAGGCTTTCCATGCTGGGTAAATAGGGCAAGTTCTACAGAACCCGAGGCTCTGTGTAAAGGTCAGAGTGCTACCAACTGAGCCATACCAACACACACTATACAAGGATAAATGTAGGCTTAGATGATCCAATACACTATTAAGTACAGTGGATCGATCCTCTGCTCCTGAGTCCATTGAAATCTAATCAGCAGATGGAACTGATCTGGGTTCAATGAAGGCTGAGGTGTTGGATCTGCAGGTAGTTTTCGTAAATTACCTTTTGATCAGGGAGAAGTTTTAAGGAGTTGTGTCTGTGCACTTTATCTGTGGCTAATCATCTCACTAAAGCGATTCAACAAGTGTATCAGGCTGATTCAGATGCTTGAACTCTTGCCTCAGAGTCAGAAGGTTGTGGATTCAAGCTATACCTCGGGACATTGAACTCACAGTTTATGCTGACACTCCAATCCAGTGCTGGGGATGTGCTGCATTGCTTGAGGTGCCATCTTTCAGATGATACATTAAACCAAGGTCCTGTTCAGGTGGATGTGTAAGATCTCATGGTACTGTTTGAAACGAGAAAGGAGTTTCTCCCAATTTCCTGGCACCGATTCCCCAAATAAAACTGGTCATTCGCTTCATGGTTATTTGTCGGGCATTGCTGTGTACAAATTGGCTGTTGCTTCACCTGCAAAGCACACGTTTGCCTAGAAAAATAGTCACTGCACTCTTCAGTACTGTATATACTGTGAAGAACTTTGGGATGACTTCCTTATTAAAGTCATTGTCATAGTAAAGGTTGTACAAGGTATGCTTAAGAATAGCATGCAGATGAGATGAATAGCCCTTTTTGTTTCAATGTTCTTGTGCTTCAATTTTCTTGTCCTTTGTTATAACAACAACAAAATTACATTTATAGAGCGCCTTTCACATCGGGAGAACGTCCCAAGGTGCTGGACACTCAGGGGTCAGGATAAGACATGATAAGACGCTATGTCAAATGCAAGGATTATTATTATTATGGGGCTTGAACTCACAATCGTCTCACTCAGAGGTGAGAGTGCTACCAACTGAGCAAGACTGGCAACTGATGACCAGCACTTTTTTTTCTGTAAAATGTGTCTTGTTATCTTACCACAAATTTAACCCTATTTAAAGTTACTTCTTTACACAAATTAAGTTCATGTTGGTAATTACCTTTACCAAAAGATCAACACAGATTCGACAACAAACTTTAACCACCAGTGTGTGGTTAGTGAATTTTTACACAGATATCCTGTGATTTTTACATTGTGTCGATTTATCGCCTATTACCCCTGGCCACTGAGAAGATTGATTCATTTTGGAAAATAAATCTCAAAACAAGTTAAACAATTCATAGTTTCGTTTGGTGGGCTGAATCATCCCAGAACAATGTTCTTATTCTCTCTGAACAAACTGACCAATTATTTGTTTCCATTAAAGCCTCTTTAGTCTACAATTACACTTAAAACTATAACTGTGTCTCTGAGTACCATTGGTCTGCCTCCATATAGATAGTCATACCTTTCTGTTCATTTCATGAATCCAGTTCATCTGAGTTTCCTGATCCATTTTCCCCTTTCTCCACTCTCCCCAACTGCCCTGAGATCTGTGACATATATTGGCACGACACAGTACCAGTGCCAGTCATCAGTTTCCAGCCTTGCTCAGTTGGTAGCACTCTCACCTATGAGTCAGACGATTGTGGGTTCAAGCCCCATAATAATAATAATAAGGGTGAAACCTTGGGCAAGTTTCCTTATTCTACACGCCTGATAATAATCCCTCAAGAAAAAAAACAATAACAATTTGGTCACTCAATCCACGACTGTTTGTGGGACACTGCTGTGCGCAATTGACTGCCGTGTTTCGCCCACAAATATACAGTCAATTCACTTTACAGTAATTATAATAATCCTTGCATTTGATATAGCATCTTGTCATGTCGTTGAGACGTCTCAAAGCACTTCACAGAATATACTGTAAAGTGAATTAGTTGAATATTTTATGGGCTAAATGCGGCAGCCGTGGATTGTGTGACCAAATTTTTTTTTTCGGAAGGTTTATTTCTCAGAAAGTGGATCACCAATCGGGTTATTGCTTGCTGCTAGATAAACAGAGGCTTGTGGAGTAAGAAAACTTGCCTAAGGTTTCGCCCTACTCAGGAATTAAACCTGGGTCCTCACACTTGCGAGGCAAGAGCGCTAACCAATACGCTACGGGACTCCATGTTGGGAATTTGAACCCATAGTCCAGCCTGACACATGAGTGCAGTCTGAGGGTTTGCTGCAATTTGTCAGAGGTGTCATCCTTGTCTAAAGTCATTGTAACTGAGTTGCAATTAGCACATTTTTTGTTTGGGACCTCAAAGATGCTGAGCTATATCATGCCTTAAGACAACACAATGAAACTAGAACGACAACAACAAAATTACATTTATAGAGCACTTTTCACGTCGTGAGAATGTCCCAACACGTATTCCTCATCTCTGTTTATACCTATACATTTACATTAATGCTTTTGTTACTGGAAGCACTTCCTGGTAGTTTCTTTTTACAAGGAATATAATATCCTCTTCACAATTTCCACTCTGATCCTTTTCGATGCTTATGAAAGGAATTATCACACCCTTTATTCTTTCTGTCAATAATATGTTTAGGTATGCAGTGGACAAAAGTAATGTTGTTTTTCATTTTTTAACATTGAATCTATTTGAGGAATGAGGAAGATGGCAATGAAGAGGCTGAGCGACTTCTATGAGCCAAATTGTAGTGGATAATTGTGTTTAATTTTACAGAAGAGGAGTACCTTTAGCACAATTTGACAACCTGACAACCACAGATGATTGGCTTTCAGTTGAGCGCCTTTCTTGGCGGGAAACAGCGGAGCTCAGAAGCTTCTCTATAAGACCCTTTTTCGCCAGGCAGCCAAATTGGATGTTCTGTAGAATTCATATTTGCCTGGATGTGTGATAATTCAGGATATCCATTACTTAAAATTCTCGTCCAGTTTTTTCCAAAGATGTCATAAGTGGTAAATGATTCCAACCGTCCTTTGGATTAATTACCAAAGGCAAAGAGTTGTCAGTAAGTTGTATATGAAGAATAGTCACAATGCAATGTCTGTACTACAGCATTTTATGTAAAGAACATTGATTTTTAAACTAAATATTCTTTTCATTCCTTTCTTAGGTTAATAAAATGGCTGAAGATGATACATACCAGCTTCGAGTAAGTATTGGAGGTTTGGGGTGTGATTTAATTAAGGGCGATCTGATGGGATCAGATCACAGAAAAAATTCAGTAGCAGCAAGTGCATGGGCATCCATTAGTGGTGAAGCTTCGTTCCATTATACTGCTGAGCAGCTGTTATCTGTGTTGTTGCTGAGGGCAAACCAAGCAGAGCTCAGAAGCTTCTCCACAGGGATAAAAATGAAAATAATCAACTGCAGCATCATTCTTGAGATACAAACATAAGTGAATTGATCAATATTGTGTTCAAATCAGAAATAAATTATAAAGATGTAAAAGCACTGAATGGAGATCTAGATAAAGGACTAACTGATGCATTAAAAATCCTCCATGGGAGGACCGTCTAACCTGCAGGACCATTTTGTCTTAAAATGTAAGTTTTTTTAAAAAAAACTGCAGAAATTAAGATTAAATTGAGTATTTGCCACAAGTCTGAACCATCTTAGATTTTAAAATAAAATTGTCTTGCAGGCTAAGTTAGGTGGAATTTTGTGCTTCTATTGTCTCACTCACAGCTTTAAGCAGCAATTGAACTAGTTTGGTTACAGCTCATTTTGCTTGAACAGATTAAATTATTCCTGTTGAAATATTGGGAAAAATTAAGGGGTTGAAAATGTGTTTGTGATCTTATTGGTCAATTCAAGTAATCATTATAGCGGGCAGAATTAGGGATGGTAAGGTTGGAAAATTTGCTTAGCCAAGGTAAAAGAGGCAGCAATCCAGCAGAGTTTAACCGTTTGTCTGTAACTTGATAAATATGTATATGAAAACAATGGTCACATTATTAGGCCATCAAACCAAATCTCGAAAAGAGATTAAGATAGCTTAATAAATCCTATTGCTGGTTAAGATGCACATGCACTACAGAATACACCCATACACAATGAAGGATTCTTCCCACCCAGTCACAGTGCTGATACTCACAGCATCTCGGCTGCACTGGGATAGAAAAGACCCATAATTATACCACAGATGGGGCACTCGCTTGTTCTAGAACATTGAACTTCAATGGATTTGATTAAACTTTCTCATCATATTGAAAATGCTTTTTTTTGCTACTTTTCCTCCCTTTTCATTTGAAAAGCCTTCTGGCCAAATATGCCTAATTGGGCAAGAATCTTATGTAAAAATAAGAAAAAAAACTTAAGTAAGCATATTGTTAGATAGCGTATGCAAATCTAAAGATTATCTCAAATGCCTTATCTACGTACAAAATAGTGAATTTATTTCTGGTTTTGAAAGGATAACTTTGACAGCTGAAACAAGCTATAACTATAATTTCCTGCGCAATTGGATGTGGCTTCCACTTGCTGACTGTTTTCTGTCCTTCCTGTAGATGTTTAACATGGACAACTATTCTGCCGGCATGTTCAATAGTCCAATTGGCCCAACAGACCCTCCACTGCAGACGCGTAAGTATTCCCATTAAGAGATGTGTCAGTTAAAACAGTGTTCCAAGACACTATCTTGCACCAACGGTTTGATATAAATCCAGTAAAATGATACATAAATACATATAAATCATGTAAAGTGCTATATAAGTATAGTTGTTTGTGGTCCCCTTTTGTAACGCATTACAAAACTGAGAATTTGGAGTAACTTATATTTGGAGTGAGGAGGGTGTCAGGGTGTGAAGAATTCTAATTTACTTTATAAATGTATATGGGGCAAAATCATTTGCATTCTATTCCAGTCTGAAGTTAGTCAGACAAGATCTACTCTTCCTAAAGTATGACTTTTAATTTGTTAGGTTATTTTCATAACCATTATCCAAATCGGTCTTTACCGTCAGACTGGGGCTTCTTGAAGACCAGGTGAAATCTCACCTCCTCTCAGGAAGGAAGCGTTCTTCATTGTTTCCCATACACATGCCACAATTTACAAAGGAAGCATAAAAGGGCATTGCTATCTGTGGTAATGTCCCTCTTTTGAAATTACTCTTTTCCTGAATTGCTCTTACTGCTGAGGGAAGAGCAGGTTCTAGGCATTTGCCTCCAAATGCTCAGTTACCACACTTTGCATTATATTCTGTGAATTACTTTGCGATATCCTCCTGATCTGAAATGCAATATATCAAATGCAAAGGTTCTTACTATTTCTTGGAAGTGGAGGAGAGTCAAAAGGGCATGAGGGTTTAAAAATGGGAAATGTACCTCAAAGTGTTCCTCGTATGTGTATAGACTTGGTTTTGTAGACTCAATGCAACAACAACAACAAACTTATATTTGTATAGCGTCTTTCAAGTTGGGAGGACGTCCCAAGGCGCTCGATAGACACAGTTTCGGACCCGAGCTGGATTGAAAGCACAGTTGAAGTGGAAGGTCTTGAGATGGGTCTTGAAGAAGGCAAAGGAGGGGAGAGGCAGAGGGACTGTGGGATGGAGTTCCAGAAGGCCCACCCGCCAATAGTGGGGCGAGTGAGGCGGGGGACGTAAAGCAGACCGGAGCCTGCCCAATACACTTAGGTGCTGTCTCTGAACTTACTGAAAAATAAGACTTCTACCCCCGCCTTATAAAATCATTTTCTCAAACCAGAAACCAGACAATAATTATCACCTAAAATTTTGGTTCCTTTTTACAAAGGGTTCAATATTCCATTAGATCTGTTACCAAATGTCATCCTTTTCATCTCACAGTTGTTTGCAATAGTAGTGTTTGTGACTGGGATATAGGAAGCATGTGACATTTCTGACATTTAGTTTATATTTTGAGAATTGCATTTTCTTTTGTGGTTTTCCTGCTTGCAGTTATTAACAGTACAATGGTTGTAGATTTGTGCAACTATCTTTACTGTGAGAGAGGATTGAAATGTAATAAACAGATTTACGGCCAGCTCTGCTTGAAATTGTGAACAGAAATTGTGTAAAGATTTCCACTGTGGGAGAAAAAAACAAATTGAGGGAGAGAGATTGGTGACTCAGTTTAGCTGCCCTTATTTTCTGTACTACGAAAGGAACTGTTTGATGGTATGAGAATATGAGAATGAGAAGTCTCTTGACTTTGATCACACTCTCACGTTAGTGCCTGCTATAAGTTTGTTACCCTGTCTGGCTTTAGATAATAGCCCATGATTTATCTGATTGAGATTTCCTTTGAAAGTAGTAGAAACATTTAAAAATGTCATTTTATGTCTACAGCTTCTATTTCCCCGTATCTGAATTTCTATCCCCCGCACCCCCATTTTCTCTTCTCCAGAAGACCGTAGACTAATTTTTCTAATTTGACTTTGACTAAGACTTTGACTAATTTTCCTTCTATTGGGGTATGGTTTCATGGGTCCTGAGCATGCAATAATACCTTGCCATGCGGCCAACATTTGATAGTGAGTCTTGACGTTGAGTCTTCATGTTGAGTGTTGTCAGACTGTCAGACTATGGGAAGATCACAGCTAAGCTCAGCATCCACATACACACACTTTCCAGCTGGGAGCTCCAGAGCAGTGACAACTCTGGCAGATGTCCCCCTCTCTTAACTAAAAGGAATTTGCTGCCCGGACTGAGATCAGCTTTCCAGTATGTACGATCAAGTGCTGCATTGTGAGGTGCCTTTTACCCATGAGCACATCGGATGACATTTATAAAAGTTTTGTAAATAAATCTGGTTGTTGTGAGGTGGCCTGTACACAGTTCACTGCAGTATTTTATCAATACTTGCAATTGCTAGGATTAGCTTTCACTACCATCATTCCTAGCATTGCTGTTTGAAGACAAAGAATATCAATATTTGATTACAAAGCAATATAAAAACACTGTTATCTTCTGCTCTTTCCTCTCCTGCTTTCTAGAACTCCATCCTAGAGTCCCTTAACTCACTCGCTCCCTCCCCTCTTTAAGGTCCGTCTCAAATGTACCTCTTTGATCATCTTTTGCTCCTCACTCCCCTCAGCTCCCATCATTAGCTCGGGTGTCCATCCAGTGCTGTGAATTCATCTTGGGACATCCTCTCTACGTGAAAGGCGCTGTATATATGTAAATTGTATTGTATTGACAATAAATTGTGTGATTTTAATGGGAAAAATCTAATATACAACAAGATTACATTTGTATAGAGCCTTTCACGTCGGGAGGACATCCCAAGGCGTTGATATAAATTTATTCACAAGTGGAAATCACAGCAAAGCTGGTTTAATCCTCGCCCAAAGTCCACATGTACTTTCCAACGTGTTGCAGGATAAGGATCAGGAGCGAGAATCTGGGATAATTTTCTTCTCTCTATTCTGGAGCACTGAGGATAAGTTTAGCACCCTTACTGCCACTCTAACTGAGATCAACTATCTCCTTACAGTCTTATGTATTAAACCTAGGGTTCCCAGTCCAAGTGTGTTAGTTGCTCACTTGATCAATGTCCATCCTTTCGTGAAAATGTTGTCTGTACATGTAAATCATGTATTTCTTTGGTTTATCTGGGTATTTGGCAATGGATATTGCTGTATGCAAATTAGTTGCCAGTTTCACCTTCAAAATACACAGTCACTACACTTTCTACACATTATAGTATGTCCCGTGAAGCTCTTTGAAACATCCTTCTGACATGAAAGACACAATATCAATTGTAAGGATTATTATCACTTCTGGTCTTTTATTCAACTTAAGAACTACTGTTAACTACTGCGACGTCCTCCCAATGTGAAAGGCACTATACAAATGTAATTTTGTTGTTGTTGTTCACTATCTTCTGATCAGCAAATTGAATTTGACCAAGTCCAAAACGTTTTTTTGGTCTTAAAGCCTGCGAGGCTAGTAGTGTTTTCAATGGTGGGGAGAATGTAGTTGGTAATCTTCAGCTAAATTTCCAGTATTTACTCAATATTTTAATTATTGACAGTATTGACAATTGGTTTTTTAATATGCATTTTGTTGTATAAAGGTGTAATCATTTCTGTATCTTTCTTCCAGCTGATGGACCTTATCTTCAGATCGTAGAACAGCCCAAACAGGTAAGCAAGTGATCTTAGAAGAAGATACAAAGTGTCACATTTGTTCTGCATTATTACTCTCCTCCTGTACTTCCCTAATGGTGGGTTGTAAATTGCAATGTGTGAATTCATGCAAAATGATGCCAATTAACACATGCATTGTATTTGGTGCGACCTTAACATGATTAACACACTGACTGGCTCCCAGATTTGCTGGAGACAGGATCCCACTGCCACTCCTTCGGCTCACTTTTTAATAGTTGGCTGAGAAGCTGGCTGCACTGCACATTGGACTTCTGCACTATACTGCTAGTTAATGCGATATTGACTTAACTAAACAAAAAAGATAAAGCGAATAACCGAACAGCAAGCGAGAGACCTGGGTTTGATTCCCGGGCAAGGTGAAACATTAGGCAAGTTTCCTTATTCCACACCCCTCTGTTCACTTAGCAGTAAGTAGAAACCCGGTTGTTAGTTGATTAGCAGGTCGCTTTTCTGGGGGGAAATAATCACTTCAAAATAAATAAATCAATAAAAATATTTGGTCATTCAATCCACGACTGGTTTTGGGACACTGCTGTGTGCAATTTGTTGCTACGTTTCACCCACAAAATATGCAGTCAATTCACTTTATGGTATATTCTGTGAAGCGCTTTGAGACGTCCCGAAGACATGATAAGGTGCTTTATCAAATGCAAGGATTATTATTATCTGCAATCCCTTCACAATTTACAAATTATGTTAAATATTCCCATGTTTAGCATAAAGTTTACACAACATGCATAACAGCATCCAGTTAAGGTTGAATATTATTAAAAAGGCAGTCAAATATTGGAACATAATTCAAGCATGCTTAACTACCAAGCTAGATTTTTTACTTCTATTGTGTAGACAATTTGAGTGAATCCCATGTATGTAATGTTTTGATTTGTTGAAAATGGAATTATCCTGGATCCGAGAGCATTCAGTTATGAAGAGATGTAGTCAACCAGAAGATTGCAAAAGAGGGTTATTCAGATATTTAAACTCCTTGGTGGCATGAATAACATAAATGTAAGCATCATATTTAATTTGGACTGTGAATGTAGAGCTGGAGAATACTTTTGCAAAATGAATGAACTTCCGGCAAGACCAGAGGTTCCGAGGACTTTTTCCTGTGCCTGAGCCCCCTTTGCAGACCAGTCAATATATGAAATAGATTTCAGGTTGTGAAAAGTAAAGGTAACAATGAACACTTTCTGTTCAGCAAACTTTTTTTTAAGCAATGGTCAAGATAAAGAATGTAAAGTTGTCTTTTCTGGAGTTTTAGTTAACTTGTCTTTGGGAGGGTTGCAGGGAGTTGTGCAGTGAAATCTTCCCTTACAGTAAAGGGGCTAAGTAGAGTTCCTGCTAGAGCCTCTGGTCCATGCTCTTTGGAACAAATATATTTAATTAACAGAAATATTTTCTCACTCCTTACTTTATTTGGACAGGCTGTTGCTTGGGGCACAGAATGAATTGTAACCAGGGTAACAATTATCAGAACACAAATTTCCTTTAACTTCCCAATGTCCCAACAACCCTGATTCAGCATGTAAACTACAGGGGTATGGACAATGGGCCTGAAAATGGGACTGAAAGGACTGCTATTAAAAGAGCCAGCACAGATATGATGGGCCGAATAGCCTTCTGTGCTGTAAATTTTGTATGATTCAAAGTGATAGTTGACTGTGTTTAACATTTTAAGAGAATGAAACAACAGTTCTTTTTTTGTAAGCAAGAGAAGTGGTGAGTGAAGCTTCCCCATTGGTAGCCTGTGTGGAACTTTTGTACTGATATAAGATGTTGTATAGCTGTACAACAACAACAACTTGGATTTATATAGCGCCCTCCACGCTGGACGGCGTCTCAGAGCGCTTCACAGTAACGGATCCCGGGACCGAGCCAGGGGGAGGGGGAGGAAGGTGACTAAAGGCAGAGACCTGAAAATAAGAAGAGAGGGGGCGAGGCGAAGGGAGTGAGGAAGGGAGTTCCAGAGCCTCGGGGCATAATGGCTGAAGGCACGGCCGCCGAGGGTGGAGCAGAGGAATCGGGGGACGAGGAAGAGGCCAGACCCGGAGGAACAAAGGCAACGGGCACTATTGTGAGGAGAGAGGAGGTCAGAGAGGTAGAGGGATGCCGAGGAGTGGAGGGATTTGGAGACAAGAGTGAGGATCTTGAAGTTAATCCTCTGTGGAATAGGCAGCCAGTGCAGTCTGGCAAGGACTGGGTTAATCGGGGAGCGGAGTTTGGTGCGGGTGAGAATGCGGGCAGTAGAGTTTTGTGTAAATCTAGGTTTTATGGATGGTAGTGGATGGGAGGAGGGCATTAGAATAGTCCAGCCAAGAGGTGACAAAGGCATGGAACAGGGTTTCAGCGGCTTTCGGAGAATGGTATTGGCAGAGACGGGCGATGTGTCGCAGGTGGAAGATGGCAGTGCTGGTGAGGGACTGGATGTGGGGAAGGAAGGATAATTGTGGGTCTAACCTGACGCCTAGGTTGTGTATGGGTTCGGAGAGTTTTAGTGGGAGGTCGGGTAGGTGGAGGAGGTGAGAACCGTGCGATTTTAGACGTTGACGAAAGCCAAAGAATATGGCTTCCGTCTTCTCAACGTTCAGCTGAAGGAAATTTGCACTCATCCAGCCCCTGAGGTCTGACAGGCAGGCTGACAGAATATCAGGGGACTGGGGGTCGCAAAGAGAGGTGGAAAAATAGAGTTGGGTGTCGTCCGCATACATGTGAAAATGTACCCCATGTCTGCGGATGACATCCCCAAGAGGGAGCATGTAGATCAGAAAGAGGAGGGGGCCAAGGATGGATCCTTGGGGTACCCACAGGTAACCGGGTGAGAGCGGGAGGAGAAGCTGTTTGTGCAGATTTACTGCTGGCGGTTTGTGAGGTAGGACTCGAACCAGGCGAGTGCGGTCCCACTGAGGTGGATGACGGAGGAAAGGCAGTGGAGGAGGATGGCGTGATCGACTGTGTCGAACGCGGCAGAGAGTACAAGGAGGCAGAGGGAGCCCTGGTCACAGATAGAGAGAATGTATTTTGTGACTTTCACCAACACATTCTTTGTACCGTGGGCAGGACGGAAACCGGACTGGAGGGGTTCGAAGAGGGAGTGTGCGAAGTTGATTGGCAACAGCGCGTTCTAGGTCTTTTGCGAGGAAGGGCAGGTTAGAAATAGGGCGGTAGTGGCTGGGGTTTGAGGGATCTTGGGAAGGTCTTTTGAGGAGGGGGTTGATGACAGCAGTTTTGAGAGGAGCAGCGACTGATCTGGAGGAGAGGGACTGGTTGATGACATCAGCCAGTAGTGGGCAGAGGAGGGGGAGCTGGGTGACCAGCAGGTTTGGTGGGTAGGGGGTCGAGGCAGCAGGCGGTGGGTTTCATGGAGGTGATGGTGGTTGAAGGGGAGGAGGGAGAGATGGGGAGGAAGGAATGTAGGATGGGGGTGGTGGTTGGAGCAGATGATGGGGAGGGTGAGGGGGATAGAGAGGGCACCATGGTGGTGGATGACAATAGGCAGGTGGATGAGGCTGCCTGGCGGATGTTGTGTATTTTAGATGAAAACAAGTCCATGACCTCCTCGCACTTGGCATTGGATATGAAGATTGAGGAGGCCTGAGGGGGGGGGGGCATGGAGGAGGTAGTGGGTGGTGGGGGAAAAAAGGATTTTAGGGTTGTGTTTAGCCTCCAAGATGATGTTGGAGTAGAATGCCGTTTTTGGATGTGTCAAAAAACATTCCCTAGATCTCTCAAACCCAGCTGTAACAGCATAAATATGGATGTCTGGCTTAAGAAGTTGATATGTGTCGAAAAAGTGGAGGCCATTCACCCTACTACTTCTATAGATCATGAAAAAGCTATTCTTGTGAACTGCATTCTGCCTCCTAGGGGAAAAGTCTTCATAAATACTCTGTAATCCCCTATGATAATCATTCCCTGATTCAACGAGTAAACTATAGGGATCCTATGATAATCAGGTCCCATCACCTCTCAGTCAGGCAGAGAAAGTTAAGGGATGATATCATGGAGATGTTTCAGATAACGAATGGGTCTGAGTGAATTAATGATGAAAAATACTTTCCACTGGTAGGGGGATTGAGGACACGAGGGCATGAATTCAAGATTGTGACCAGGGCCATAAAAGGAGCGATTTAGAAAAACTTACATAGATTTATATCAAATGCACGGCACAGAAACAGGCCATTTCAGACAAGCCAGTCACTCCTTACTTGCATCAATATCCTTCTATTCCTTTCTCCCTCATTTATATGTCTTTCCTCAGAGGATTGTCAGGGTATAGAATGATTTGCCAGAGATAGATGTTAGAGCATTTAAAAAAATAATTAAACAAGCACATGCAGAGGAAAGGTATTATAGGATATGGAGAAAGAGCAGGGAATTGGGAATAAGGTTGGATGGCTTCTTGGAGGAGCAAACACCAAAAGTGAAAAAATAGGCCAAATGACCTAGTACTGTGTGATACATTTCTGTGGTTCTATTTCTATATTTTGGGTAAGGTGAAGCACAGCTTTTATTTAACCAGGACAGTGATCCAACACAAATGCTTGGTTATTTGGTTGGTTTTGCTGTCCCACTCTCTGGAACTTCAACCCGAGATCCTTCACCTCACCCCTTCTCTCACCTCCTTCAAGGTCCGTCTCAAGACCTTCCTCTTTGACCGCACCTTCAGTAATATTCCCCACCACCCCTCCCGAATCCAACCCCCAGCTCAGGTGCCAACCCTCGACTGTCCAGCACCTTGGCATGTCCTCAAGACATGAAATAATTTTATAATTCAATTTATTGTTATTTTTAGAAGAGTTGTTGCCCTTTGAAGGAGTAAATGTGATTTGTTTACTTTGAAGGAGTGCCACATTTTTTTATGCGGACAAACGGTGCAGCCAAGTGCACTATCACATTCTACAAACAGCAATTAAACAATTTGGTTTAATTTTGATTATCTTAAGGTCATGAAAAGACAGAATCCCAACCAGTTTTAAACAGGTAGATTAGACTGTTGAAATTGTTGTGACGGTTTAATGGTATTAACTATAATTCCTAACCTGGCACAAATAGATCTGCAAAATTGGAAGTTCTTTGTGCACAGGGATCAAGATTTACTAGTGAAGAAAGATATTGTATTTGGTGATTCACAAACAATTGGAGTCATTAGCTCAGTGGTTAGAGCACTCGCCTTGCAAGCGAAAGACCTGGGTTCGATTCCCAGTAGGGCGAAACCTTGGGCAAGTTTCCTTACTCCACACGCCTGATAATAATCTCTCAAGAAAAAAAATAATAAAATTGGTCACTTCAATCCACGTCTGTGTTTTGCCCACAAATATACAGTCAATTCACTTTACAATATTTTCTGTGAAGCACTTTGAGGACATCTAGAAGATGCGGAAAGCGCTATATCAAATGCTAGAATTATTATTATTATTAAGATATGAGAAAACATTGATCAAGAAAAAGGCCATTTAGGCAATAAAGTTCACAGTTACACAAATTCTCTTGGAAGAAAATCTCCTGTTCTGAGAAGATGTGAGATTCTGCTCAGTAGTGGAGGAGAATCTTGCTGGAGATTTCTTCCGTTTTTCATGCCTCCTGCAAATCTCAGCAATATAAATTATGTATGGTAGATTTCAGCTTGGTTCAGACGGTAGCGCTTTTGACAATGGGTCAGAAACTCATACAACACAATACAAATTTACATTTGTATGATGTGTCCCACAGAGCCTTGGGGAATGGAGAGGGGAAAGACAACTGAAATGTACAAATGTATGACACAGTATGAGACCATTTGGCCCATTGTCTTGAGACAAACCTTATTAATAATAATAATAATTCTTGCATTTGATATAGCACCTTATCACGTCTTTGAGACGTTGCAAAAAACTTCACAGAATATACTGTAAAGTGAATTGGCTGTATGCGTAACCTTAAACAAGGTAAGAAGAGAGTGAGTCACAGGCACTCCAGGAAGGTGTTCCAGAGAGCGGGGATAGAATGCCGAAGGTGCGCTAGCTAATGATGAGCAGATAGGGAGGGGGACATGAAGCAAGCCAGTGCTTGCTGGACAAAGGGAGAGGCCAGTTTAATAAGAGTTACATAGATACACTGACATAGAAACAGGAGTAGGATCATGGCTGATCTATACCTCAAGTCCAGTTACCTGCCTTTGCCCCATACACCCTGATACCCTGACCTAACAAATATTTATTTACCACCATCTTGCAAATGTGAATGGATCCGACATCCACAGCCTTTTGGGGTAGAGAGTTCTAGATTTCCACTGCCCTTTGGGTAAAAAAATGCTTCCTGGTTTCACTCCTAAATGGCCTAGCTCTAATTTTAGGATTATACCCCCTTGTTCTGGATTCCCCCACCAGAGGAAATAGTTTCCCTGCAGCTACCCTATCAAATCCCTTTATTATTTTAAACTTTGAATGTCGTGCTCTCAGTCTCTGTGTAGTTTGGAGGCTGTACTACCACCTGTCACTAGTACTTTGCTTTGGTGACCCTACTTCCTGTGTGTAATTAACTTCTCTTTCTATTGTGTCAGTGTCTTGTTTCTGTGAGACCGATGAGAGTGCTCATCTACCAGACACTCTGACTAGGAAATACAAAATAAACCCATGTCATTCACTTCTTTTTATATTGCGCACGTGTTTTATATTGTTTAAGTGTCTTCAATTATATTGTATTGAAGACACTTGAATAGCACCGAAAATGACTTCTGACAAACCACATTTCACACTGTAGCATTACCATTGTGGTGCCTGGAAATGACAGCATTTGCTGAATGTCAGCTTACAATGCTGGTGGATGTCCACAACAGGAAGGAAGTAATATGTGTTACAAAATGTCAGCAATGGGCATTCAAATGCATGCGGAAGCTCACCCAAATGATGATTATCTCTACGTCAATACCCTCCTCCAACTGTGCAACATCCTTTATTATATCAAGTTGGGGTTTCAGTTAACCTGTAGCTGCAATAAAGGTTTGATTTAATGCAGTGTCCCAATTTTGCCTAATAATAATAATCCTTGCATTTGATATAGCACTTTATCACATCTTACTTGCCTTTGATGTGCCTTATGACATCATTGAGTCATATCAAAGTGCTTCACAGGAGATGTTGCAAAGTGATTCCTGGACTGGGCAAAGCTTTAGGCAAGTCTCCTTATTCCACACACCTCTGGAACTCCATCCCAGAATGCCTCCAACTTGCCCCCTCTCTTGCCTCCTCAAGGCCCATCTCAAGACCTTCCTCTTTGACCATGCCTTCAGTCATCCTCTCATCACTATACCTCTAGGCCCTCACCCCTCTTGATTCCAACCCCCAACTCGTGCAACACTTGACTGTCCAGCACCTCTCGACATCATCCCAACGTGAAAGGCGCCATATAAATGCAATTTCTTATAGTAGTTGTTGTTGTTGTCCTCGATTTATAGTTTAATCCAATGGATGGTACCTCCAACCAACAATGCCCCAGCACTGCACTGGAGTGTCAGCCAAGATTATATAAGTTGAAAGTTCTGATGTCGGGCTTGAACCTATAATCTTCTTACTCAAAGGCAAGAGTGCTACCAACTGAGCCAGGCTAACATCTTATGCCTCATGTTCATTTCATGCCGATCATTTTCTGTGTTTTCTGCAAACCTGCCTGCCTCACAGATATAATTGTTATGTGTCGGTGGGATCTATCTCACTAGTTACTATAGCTCTCCAGCCATATGAGTGTCAGCAAAACCTTCTCTAGGTGTAAGAACAGTTATGGTCTGTAATTGCACCTGTTGTACAGTCACACCTAATGTAGTTACAAACCTCGAACAGCATAAAGAATGGAGACTGCCTATATGGGGATCTGTCCTCCTGATGGTAACTATTCCTGCTTGTAATAGGAGTAGTTACACCAGTAGGAGTTCAGACTCGCAGGGCACTTTCACCAGTAGGAGAACACTTTGACTTCCTCAGGCTCTCCAGCTTCTCTCTCCCTGGTGTTACGACATCCGTTTTACCAGCATGTCCTGATGTACGCTAGTGTTTCTGTAGTAATGGAAAGATTTTTATTTTCTTTAAAAAAGGAGGCACATGTTCAGATGTTAAGTAATGATGGCATGAAGGTGACACCAAGTTGAGGAGGTGGCGGTGGAATCGGTGACGGCAGCAAACGATTTACAAAGATTGCTTGTAGGTTATGTATATGGGTTAATAATTGGTGAATGAAGTTTAATAGAGATACATTCAAGCTATTACCGATGAGAAGTAAGAATAGGAGGCAAATATACTCAAACTGAAAGAGATCTTGGGGTTGTTAGTTGACTCATTGCTCACTATGTCAAAACAGTGCATGGCAACAATAAACAAGACAAACAGGATGCTGGGCTATATTGCTAAATCAGTTGAATTCAGATCCCCAGATGTCATACTTGAGCTACATAGTGTTCTGGTCAGGCCTCAGCTGGAGTAGTGGGTATGGTTCTGGTCACCATGACGTAACAGGGCTGCCAGCACAAGAGGTATTCCAAAGGACAACAACAAGGATGATCCTCAGTGTTTTGTGCAATGAGCAGTGATTAAATGGGATTGAGAAAGTAAACCCAAAACAATACTTTTGGATGTGCCAAAGCAGAAGAACAAAAAGATGTAGGTCTGGAGTTGCAAACAGCAATTATAGAACAGATAGCTGGAACAATTTTTTTACCCAAAGTGTAAGTAACACCTGCAAAAGGCTAACAGGAAGGGGTGGTTGAGGCCAGGACCCTAGACTCATTTAAAAAAATAGCTTCATGATGTAATGGGAGGATGGCAAGGTGGATGAGATCAGATAGCCTGAAGGGCCTTCTTCATCCAAACCAACCCTTGTGATCTTGTGAAATGATGTATCCTGAGCATCTCTGATTCTCTACATAGTGTAACCTGTAGTTGAGTTGTTCTGTACAGTTGTGTTCACAATGTGCCCTGATTTGTGTTTTGCAGCGTGGTTTTCGTTTCCGTTATGGATGTGAGGGACCATCACACGGAGGATTACCTGGTGCTTCCAGTGAGAAAAACAAGAAAACCTACCCAACTGTTAAGGTCTTTATTTAAACAAAACCAACACATTAAGTCACCTATTCTTTGCTTCCACCATGAAGGGCGTTTGAAATTAAATTTTTGTTTTTAAAACAATACAATACAATTTACATTTATATAGTGCATAACATGCATAAGAAAATCACAAAACGCTTGCCAATTCTGGATGGGCACCAGAGCTGAGGGGATAGGGAAAGGAAGAGGGACCAACCTACAGGAATGAGGAGGGGAAAGATGACCAAAAACACGGTCAAAAGAGTACGTTTTGAGTTGTACCTTGAAAGAGGGGAGGGAACAAGTTGGAGGGACCTAGGAATGGAGTTCCAGAGAGCCAGCGCCAAGTGAGCACCAAAAAATAATCCTGTAGTTTATTTTTTTCAATAGTATCTGATTTATATTAGACTAATACATGTTGTTCAATATAATTTTAGGCTTTGCTCTAAAGTTTTAACCTGCAGATTTGAGCCTCCAAATTTGAAATTTAATTTTTGTTTCAAAAAATATTGACACTTGTACAATGTATTTCACCTCGGGAAAATGTCCTGACATATCTGGATGGACACAGGAGCACCATGAATAAATATGTTTATTTTACGTTTAATTGGCATACAAAACCCAATACAACTAGCTTTGACGATATCAGAATTTTTTAGGTATTTCTGCAGACATTTGCTGGTTCATTGGACGAGTTGGCTGCTGGTGGGTGGAATTTTAAACTGCAGGATTTATATTTAACACACACATGCAAATTGGCACTTGCTCAGATATTTGTGTGGGTTGAGGGGGAGGGGAGAGGCTGGCCTTCTCTGTGTCAGCGAATCACTGCTATACAGGAAAACCTGGGCTTCCTGAAAGTACTCAAGAGACTTGCTGCTTATTGTTAGCGATTTTTGTAATCCGAGGCGATGTGATAGCAGTGGAAAATGATAAATTGGTGTAAATTTATTCTCTTTATCGTCTGCAAATATAATTTGTTTGCTTTCTCTCAAACAGTATAATATTAGTTATGTTATGGCAGGTGAAATGGAGTTAAAATAATGAAATAATCCTTGTGTTTGGCATAGCTCTTTATCACATTGCCAAAATGTCTCAAAACGCTTTACAGGATTTTACTTTAAAGTGTAGATTGTGTGTTTTGCAGACGTCAGAAAGTTATTCCAGGGCCGAGCAAACCTGAGAATAAAGATTAGCAGACCGAATTCACTTTGTTCCTAAACAGAACCGATATGTGCTTTTCTTTTATTGCAACCCTTTCAAATGTCAGACTGAACCGGTAGACTCACTTCTGGGTCAAAAGGTTATGGGTTCAAGCCCTACCGTCTGAATTTGAGCTCACAAGATGAAATTTGATACATATAGGAGGGGAAAGGGGTTGGTGAGGATTAAAGAGGGGTGAGGGCTCGTGCAGAGTATAAACACTGCCCAAACTAGTTGGCTGAATAGCCTGTTTCCAAACTGTAATGTTCTATGTGATTGTTGGGGGGAGGGCTACATTGTCAGCGCTGTTCTTTGGATGAGACGTTAAACTGTCTGACTGTTCAGGTGGACATTAACGACCCTTTTGCACTAATTGAAAAGAGAAGGGAGTTCCTTCCAGTGTCCTGGCCAACAATCCCCCAAATACATTTTCATTCACTTCATGGTTGGTTTTGGGACATTGCTGTGTGCAAATTGGCTGCCATTATCAACCGCAAATATACAGTCACCATTTTATATCCATTGCTGTAAAGTGCTTTGAGACTTTTTGATGTGATAGGATCTACGTCAAATTAAGGATTATTATTAATCCTTAATTTGAACCCTGAAACTGAACCACAGAATTTTACAGCAAAGAGAATAACTTTTGGTTCATTGTATTGTAGAATACAATACAAATTTACATTTATACAGCATTTTTCATGTGGGAGGACATCCCAAGGCACTTAACAATACTGGCTTGGCACCTGAGGACCATAATATTACTCCTTGCATTTGATATAGTCCCTTATCACGTCATCGAGACATCTCAAAGTCCTTCACAGAATGTACTGTAAAGTGAATTGAATTTAATTGACTGTATATTTTGTTGGCGAAATACGGCAGTCAATTGTGCACAGCACTGTCTCACAAACAGTCATGGATTGAGTGACCAAATTATTATTTTTTAGTTATTTATTTTTTAAGGAATTATTACCCCTGGAAAAGCGATCTGCCAATCGACTAACAACTGGGTTCCTACTTACTGCTAGGTGAACAGAGGAGTGTGGAATAAGGAAACTTGCCCAACATTTCATCCTGCTGGGAATCGAACCCAGGTGGGAACCAAGTTGAGTGGGGAGGAGTAAGATGACAGAAAGTATAGCCAAAGAGGAGGGTCTTGAGACAGAACTTGAACAAGGTGAGGGAGATAGCAAGTCAAAGCAGCTCTGGGATGGAGTTCTAGAAAAGATGGGTTGGGGCAGATGGGTTGAAAGCCTGGCCACCAATGATGGGACAAGTAGGGCAGGGTACATGAAGCAGACCAGTTCCCCCTGAGCAAGGGGAGTAGCCAGGTCATTAGGGCTTGAGGAGGTTCCAGAGGTAGAGTGTAGTCAGTTGTGTGTGTATTCCAAGCACTTGGACCAACGTCTACATAACTACATATGGAGTCCTGTAGCTCAGTGGTTAGAGCACTCGCTTTGCAAGCGAGAGACCTGAGTTCAATTCCAGGCAGGGAGAAACCTTGGGCAAGTTTCCTTACTCCACACGCCTAATAATAATCCTCCAAAACTAAAAACAATAATTAAATTGGTCATTTTCAATCTACGACTGTTTGTGGGACATTGCTGTGCGCAATTGGCTGCCGCGTTCGCCCACAAATATACAGTCAATTCACTTTACAGTGTGTTCTGTGAAGCGCTTTGGGACGTCCTCCCGACGTGAAAAGCGCTATATCAAATGCAAGGATTATTATTATTATTATTATTATTATTATATGTGCAACTAACACTACTGCCGTCTAGATTCATACATGTAGGGACCTCTCTTGTTGATCATGGACCTGACAAACTGTCCAGAGAATAATAATTGTTCATGTCAGACAGGTGGTTTGTGTACTCAGTCCACCAGTGGCCAGGAAACACAGTGACCTCTGCTTCCCTTGGTGGCTCTTGTGTTGCTTTGTAGCTGGATGCTCCTGCTGCTGAGGATATTTAGATTAGTCTTTGCAGGAATGGAGGAGCATTTATCTCACAAGACTTTGACTGAGCTCCTGATTGATGTGGAAAGCGCAACCAATTTGCACACAGCAATGTCCCACAAACAGCCGGGATGTTAATGACCAATTTTATTTGGGGGATTGTTGGCTAGGACACCAGAAAAAATACCCTGGCACAAGCAAGGCCCAGTAAAAATGATGATCTGAGCATACTAAATAGCATTGAGATCTGGCTTTCTTCTGAAGCACATGGGTGGAAACAGGAAGCTAAAATAGGAAGACAGTGCCTGCTGAAATATGAATATTAGAAAATTGTGACGTCAGGAAAAATAGACATTTGAAATGGGAACTTTCCACGGGTTTTTCCATGCCCTTTAATGCTTCCCATCAAAAGAAAATCCGAGCCTCAAACTGACTGGGATTTGCACAGTATTGCTAAAGGGATTTTTTTTTCATATGACAGATTCTACAGTTTCAGATTTCTTATCCTCAGTGTTCATGAGACTGAAAAAACAAGACAACCGCGCAGAATATATTGTAAAGTGGATTGACTGTGTATTTTGTGAGCAAAATGCAGTAGCCAATTGTGCACAGCAGTGTCCCGCAAACAGTCGTGGATTGAGTCACCAACAGTGCAATTTCACCTAAATTCCCAATTCACCACATGTGGCTAGTGGCTAACATATTGGAAAACCCTGGTCTAGGCTGACACTCAAATGCAGTGCTGAGGGTCTGCTGCATTGTTAGAGGTACCAGCCTTTTGATTAAATTTTATACTAAATATTTATACTAAAGTACCGTCTCCTGTTCAGGTGGACATTAAGGTTCCTATGGCACTATTAGAAAAAGAAAGGAGTTTCTACCTATGTCCTGGGCAACAATCCCCCAAATAAAATTGGTCACTCACTCCATGGCTGTTTGTGGGACATTGCTGTGCGCAATTGTGCTGCTGTTTGCCTACGAACACACAGTCACTCCATTTCATAGTATAATCCTGTGAAGCTGCTTTGAGACATCCTTCGGTCATTATAAGGCGCTGTAGCAAATGCAATATTATTATTATTAGCTGTTCAGCAATTAACTCACTTGAGGCGTGTGAAAGATTGAGGGTAATATATGATTTTTTAGTATTTTTGGATCATCTCTTTGACCTTGCTGTGGCCATCAGGAGAAAATATTTCACTCCCAGGGCTTGAGAGGTTCTCGTACAGAAATAATCGAGGTGGTCGTCAGACTTCTTAACTGATTCTGATCCTCCAGCCAAAGTTGATTCTCATTCACTTATTTATAGTTTATTTATAACTACATTGAATTGTCCGCTTCTTTGGATTCGGGGTCTAACTCCAGATCAACGAGATAATTTCTCCCACAAAATATACAGTCAGTTCACTTTACAGTTTATTCTGTGAAGCACTTTTGAGATGTCTCGAAGACGTGATAAGAACTATATCAAATGCAACGATTATTACTTATTATTATACTTGACACAAAACAGTACTCTTTAAAATGGCTTTACTGTGTTTAAACTTTTAATTGGATTTCATAATATTTCATAACTATTCTAACTATTCAAAAGCTATTAGTGTACTCTGGTTTTGAACAAACTAAATAGTATATGAGTGCAAACATTCAATAGAATGTGGATTCCTTTGACCTAGCAACCTTTACATTAGCAAATGAAATTCTATTTTCTGGTAGTTTAGAGCTAGTGTATTAAGTGTTAGCAAATATTGTAAGGAAATACACTAAATCAGATTCAGAATGGGTGTGAAAATGTTGTGGATTGTTAATTGCAGTTTGTGAATTGACCTTCTAAAGTAACACAAGA